GGTTTTGATTCATTTGGCTTAGCACTAAACCTCTAATATCCTTGAACTCTAACAAAACCCCTAATAAATTTTGGCATAAGATTTCTAAAGTTAACATTGTTAGCTCATGTGTGTTCAAATGACCAAAATACCTCTAATATATTTTGGCAAAAGAACCCAATAAAGTTTAAATTTTGTCACTTGGCTCTCAATAACTTTTGGCACAAACCCCGCAATAAGTTTTAGTTTTAGTAATTCGGTCAAAAAGATAGTATATTTAGGAGTAATGCTTTAAATTTTGGGATAGTTGGGTACTTCATGTAATTAGGAATATAATTAATTATGGTTAATTAATAAATTGTATATTATTCATTATTAAAATTGAAAATTAATTTACAATAGACTTTAGTTGGCTCGTTGAGTGGGGAAAGATAATATTAAATAGGAGTATTTTAAGTTTTAAGATAGCAGGGTTTTTTTTATGTATTAGGGATATAAGATATTTAAAATTTAAACTTTTGAAGAAAGAAATTTTTTTCCCCAGATAACATAGCTTGGAATCCAACCATTCAGGTCATTCGCGCTGGTTTTTTAGAAAGAAATTTAATCAGAAATGGATATGTGTCTTTAGAATACTCATGCCTTCTAAAATATCTTTAAAATAAATTAGAATTTTAAATTTCAAACTAATAAAAAGAGCAGTGCCTAGGCATAAATCTCAATTAACTGCAATGTGACGACTTTGGATAAACTGGTGACTGCCATGTGCCATGTGGCAACTTTGGATAAAATACCAAATTTTATAATTTCTCATTATATGTAATTCTTTAATAATCTATATTTATACTACTATAAAATGAGGATTTAGGTGTTAAAATTTTAAATTTTATTTTTTTACCTTATCAAATTTTGGCAAATTCTAACTATGCTATTATCTCTAATTAATGTTTTATTAAATAAATATAACCTCTTATTAATTATGCACTCCTCACCTTCCTAAATAATTAAAATTATCAATAATATTAGAGCTATTAATTGTTTAAAAGTAATAAAATAAAATAATTTATAAAATAAGTATACACAATTATTAGTAGTAACCAATTAAATTATTATAATAATTAAATTATATAAAATAACTAAAATAACAGTATAAATAGAATAATTTACTACTAAATACTATTAAGAATTAGGCTATAATTCAATAAGGAATAAAATAAATAGAATAAATTGTGAATAACTTAAATAGTGTAATTATTATAATAGTATCACAAAAAATATGAATTACACTAATTATTTAGTATTATTTTATTAAATAAATTCAAAAAATAATTTACTAATATTTTTAAAGTATTTTATCAAAGATTATTACATGATACTAAATAATAAAATAATTTATAAAATAAGTATACACAATTATTAGTAGTAACCAATTTAATTATTATACTAATTAAATTATATAAAATAAATAAAATAACAGTATAAATAGAATAATTTACTACTAAATACTGTTAAGAATTAGGCTATAATTCAATAAGGAATAAAATAAATAGAATAAATTGTGAATAGCATAAATAGTGTAATTACTATAATAGTATCACAAAAAAATATGAATTACACTATTTATTTAGTATTATTTTATTAAATAAATTTAAAAAATAATTTACTAATATTTTTTTAAAGTATTTTCTCAAAGATTATTACATGATACTAAATAATAAATAATTTATAAAATAAGTGTACACAATTATTAGTAGTAACCAATTAAATTATTATTATAATTAAATTATATAAAATAACTAAAATAACAGTATATAATCTATACTTGGTAATTATTAAAAACTAACCCTTTTACAAAAAAATTTATTTAATTTTAATAATAGTACTATAATTGTTAATGTTAGTATAATAAAAAAAACATGCTAAATTTGTTAAGACCATAATTAAAAAAATTAAATTACATAAATATTTTATAGTATATAGATAGTATAATCATTTTAATAATATTACTTGAATTTAGAATTATAATATTAAATATGACAAGTTACAATAAACCCATGAACTTTTACCATTTTATAGTAAATAGGCCATATGAACTTTCAAAATCATATTAAAAACCTAATAACTTTTGTAGAAAGCCCCCAATATCTTTTAGATAAATTACACCAAAACCCCAATAAGTTTGGTAGAAATCTCACGATATCATTTAGATAAATTACATCAAACCCCCCAATAACTTTCAAAATGCCTTTCTATGGCATTTTATGGTTCCAATTTTTAAGAGTTATCTACAAAATTTAGAAAGTTATTGGGGGTCTTTTTTGAAACAGAAAAGTCATTAGGGTTTAGCATAATTTTGAAAGTTCACATGGGTCGAGAGTTCATCCGGGTTTAGCGTAATTTACCATATTAAATAATTATAACGAGAAATAACAATTGCAGTATGTTGCAAGTATAAAGTTTAACTATTTAGAGAACATTAGGAAAAAGCTAGTAAGATTAATGCAACTTAGTTAATTTAGAGTTAAGTTTAAAACTTTTAAGTTAGATGGACATACTTAAGATAATTGATAAAATTAGTAGTTTTATTTAAGAACAATTTTAAATTTGGGGGCTTATCTTAAAAAAGGTTAACACTGGGCGATCATTATAAGAAAAACATTCAATTATAATAAATACACAATAATAATTAATTCATACAATTTTATTTATTAACACGTAGATTTACTATTAAAAAAAATTCAAAACTTAAAACATGTTCATTCACGTGCAAAACATGCGTATTATACTAGTATAGAATAAAAGGACACATGACTATTTTCTAGTATGACACATCGATCTTGTGTGGCCAACTAATTATTCATGGAGGAATATATGAAGAAGGGATACTTTTTTAAGTAGACTAGTATAATGCACGTGTTTTGCACGTAAATGTACATGTTTTAAGTTTTGAATTTTTATTGAATAGTAAAACTATGTGTTAATGAATAAAATTGTATAATAAGATTGCTTTTAAAAAAATATATGTATTAATTACTATTGTGTAGTTATTGTAATTGAATATTTTTCTTCTAATAATCGCCTAGTGTTAATCTTTTTCTAAATAAGTCCCTAAATCTAAAATTTTTCTTAAATAAAATTGTCAATTATATAAAGTTCTCATAAATATGCCACTCTGACTTGAAAGTTTTTAACTTAGGGGGTGTTTGGTTTCATAATTTTATAGAAAAGTTTTCTCAAAATGTCTGGCAATGATAATTCTCTAATTAAAAATTTTCTATATATTTCCATAAACTTTGTTTGGTTGAAAAAATTTACAAAAATGTTTTCTGTATAGTATAAAAATATCAAAATTTACAGAAATTAATTTTCTCTCAAAATGGGCGGAAATCACCTAGAAATCTGACACAACACTGACACTTTTCTATAAAGTTAATAATTTTCTATAAATTTAGGGGGCGTTTGGTTCAATTTCTACAAATTATAGGAAATCTTGTTATTTTCTATAAAGTTATGAGCTATTTTCTTATTTTAAACCAAACAAGCAAAGTAAAATAAATAAAAAATTTGGTACTTTTTGACTTCTCAAAACTTTCCTATAATTTTTAAGAAATACAAGGAAATCATGTTTTGGATGGAAAACATTTCCTTTAATTTGTAGAAATTAAACCAAACACCCTCTTAACTTTAGATTAACTAACATGTATTAATCTTGCTAGCTTTTTCCTGATGTTCTCTAGATAGTTATACTTGATACTTGCAACATATTGCAATAGTTAGTTTCATTATAGTTATTTAATAGGGTAAATTACACTAAATATTTATGAACTTTCAGGCCATATGAACTTTTAAAATAACACAAAACTCCTAATGGATTTTCTGCTTCAAAAAGAAGACCCCTAATGACTTTTTAAAATTTGTTAATAACCCCTATTAATTAGAACTATAAAATGGCATAAAAAGACATTTTGAAAGTTTTTTTTGGGGGGGTGGGGGTTGATGTAATAATTTATCTAAAAGACATTGGAGGCTTTCTACAAAAGTTATTATAGGTTTAGTGTGATTTTAAAAGCTCGTAGGTTCTTTTTACTACAAAATGGTGAAAGTAAATGGGAGTTTACTATAATTTACCTTATTTAATATTAAATTTTTATCATAAATATTTTATAAATTATTATTATACTATCATTAACAATTAATAGTATTATTATTAATATTAAATATTTTTTTTTTGTAAAAATATTAGTTTCCAATCATTACCAAGTATAGATTATTTACTATCCTCTAGTAATCCTTAAGAAAACACTCTAAAAATAATATTAAAAACTATTTATTTAATAGTATAATACTAAATAAATAGTAAATAAAGAGTGTAATTCATAATTTATGTGATACTATTAAAATAATTATACTATTTATGGGATTCAAAATTTTTTCTATTTATTTTATTGCTCATTGAATTATAATATATTTCTTAATAGTGTTTAGTAATATATTATGCTATTTATTATTATTTTAATATAATTCATAAATAAATATTATAATAATTTAATTGGTTACTACTAACAATTATGTATACTTATTTTATAAATTATTTTATTTTAATATTTTTAAATAATTTATAGTTGTAATATTATTGATAATTATAGTTATTTAGGAAGATGAGGAGATGCATAATTAACAAGAGGTTATATTTAATAAAAGATTAAATAGAGATAATGACATAGTTTGAATTTCTTAAAATTTGAGAGGATAAAAAGAAAATTTTAAAATTTTAACACCCTAATTATTTTTTTATAGTAGTATAAATATAAATATAGATTTTGTATGCACTTTTGTATAACGCGTCCATACATTAGCAAATTGTACAATGACCGAAATAAATAGAAAAGAAAAGACAAATTATACACAGGCTGGGATACAAAAATGTCGTGGAACCCAAATGTTACGTAAGCGATACGGGTATGGGGCCCACTACAAAGCAGCCCAAAACCACACTCCAAGCACTATGCGGGAGACTCATTCCCCTATTAGGAGAAGCAACACCCCCACTTCTCTCCTCTCCTTCTCTACTTTCATGGCCTCCTCCAAAACCCTAACCCTAGCTTCTCACTGATCTCTAGTCCCTTCCGTTCTCAAATTCAATTGCAACAGGAGGATTGTACAGAGAGAGAGAGAGAGATAATGGAGAACCCTAAGAAGTCTCGACTCCGGCTCCGCCTCAGAGTGACGGCGAAGAAGCGCGGGAAGGATCCGAGCACGTCCACATCAGGATCAAATCGAAAGGTCCATCGTGAGTGTTTCAATTCAGTGAAGAAGCTGCAGAGGCGAGAGATCGGGGGGTTCAATAGGATGGCACGAGGGTTGTCGTCGTCGAATGCGATCGAGAAGTTTCGCAATTTCCAGCTCCAGGTTAGTGGTTGATATCTTGATCGTTGGTTTTGAGTTGGTTAGGGTGTTGAAAGTTTTTGTTTTGATGGGGGGAATTGGCTGTTAATTGGGTGATTAGGGTTTTGGTTGCCGGTTAGGGTTTGACATTTCTGGTAATTTGGAAGATTAGGTGGCTTCCCAATGTGAGGCTCCTTTATACCAATGTTCTCAACCTACATAATTTTACTGATCTGATCAACTTCTAAGCTCCACATACTTGCACTCAATATGTGTTCATTAAATTGAATTCTAGTCGGAAACCTTCTAGGTTTTCTGGCCGTGGTTCAAGGTGAGGTCATGGTCAATGATTGTGACTTGCTGTTGATATAGCACCCCCCCCCCCCCTTCATCTTTAGTTGATTTTATAGTTTTCCGCAGATGTTTTATTGTAAATCTTGTTTGTCTTCATGGATAGGGGGTTTTATTCATGCCTTAGGGTGCAATTTGCCATGGAGGTTAAAATTTCTACCCTGTGCATAAGAACGGCGTTTTGGTTGGTTTTGGAATGAAAGCTGTAGGAACTTAATGCAGGTGATCTTGATTCATGGTGCTCTAATAAGGGTTTGTACATGAACCTGGAAATTTGTTCTGAGATTTTAACTTGGGTATCTGGTCACCTCAATTATCTCTACCTGCCCTTCCGATAATTACTATTTCAATTTGAATACCTATTTCTGCTGTTAGAGTTCTGAAATTTCCCTACTTTGATATCATTCATATTACTTCATATTCTCATTGTGCATTACACAATGTGTCACGACCACCAAGGTTATGTCTTTTTGATGCCCTCAAATCTGCGCTGTTTATACCCAGAGGGGGAAAAATCAAATTTACTGTGGACCTGTTATTATCTTGTTGAATTTGTGCTTTTGGTTAAGTTTTCTGATATATGAAATTATTTGCAATCAGTAATCATCATCTAGTGTCTTTATCTTACTATATGAAGCATGTAACCAGCCCCCATATGTAAACTACGTGATCTGCTATGGTATGGCCTGAATCCCTGATGGCAATAATTCAATATTTGTTTAATGGCTTATAATACACAAGTTTCATGTTTTTTTGGTGCCATGCAGGAGGAGTTTGATACATATGACCACAATGTTCACTGGTTTCTGAAATTACAGTTTCTTAAGAAGCGATCTAAAATCATTGAGATTGTTGCAGCAAAGGATGTTATATTTGCTTTAGCTCAGTCCGGTCTCTGTGCAGCTTTTAGCCGAAGTAAGTCCTCTGCAGATCATCCTTTTAAAACTTTTGGTTAATTCTAATTGGCACCAATATTTGTTTTTTTAAATGCTTTGACAGCAACAAACAGACGGATATGCGTCTTGAATATAAGCCCTGATGAAGTGATTAGAAGCCTTTTCTATAATAAGAACAATGATTCCCTCATAACAGTATCGGTTTATGCATCAGATCATTTCAGTTCTTTGAAATGCCGAACTACTCCTATAGAGTAAGAAGTTTTTTCTGATGCAGCCAAACAATTTTACACAGATACTTTATCTTGTTTAATTTTATTGTAGATTTTCGGCATCCCGTCTTGCTTGATACAACGTTATTAAACAACTAGAGCTTAAATTGGACAAATAAGCGAAAGAAGCAAGTATGGTTGTGCCAATATTGGGGACCTTGTACTTTACGTCCTCAGATAAAACTAGAAAAATATCATGTCTTCAGTGCTTTGTGGCCTTTTACTTATACTTTTTGAATCAAGAAGTTTAGATCTTCAGTAGTTACTGTGTTTGCTGGAATCTGACAGGTATATCAGAAGGAACCAATTGGATGCTGGATTCCCTCTTTTTGAAACCGAGTCCCTTAGGTGGCCTGGTTTTGTTGAGTTTGATGATGTGAATGGCAAAGTACTGACTTATTCTGCCCAAGATGGGTAAGTTATATTCTTCTGGTTCTTCAATATTTTTTTGGTTATATAGCTTGAAGGGTCCATTGACTTTTACACATTTTGCAGCATTTACAAAGTTTTTGACCTAAAGAACTACTCATTTTTGTATTCAATATCGGATAAAGATGTGCAGGAGATCAAAATCAGGTTTGATTCTTTTTGGAGGAAGATTTATTCACTGCTGTTACGTAAATTGATCTCTGACTAGTAACTTTAATTGACAGTCCAGGAATCATGTTGCTGATATACATCAAAACTCCTGGTTATGTTCCGTTGAAAATACTCTCAATTGAAGATGGAACCGTATTAAAATCTTTCAATCATTTGTTACACCGAAACAAAAAGGTGGATTTCATTGAGCAGTTCAATGAAAAGCTCTTGGTCAAGCAAGAAAATGAGAATCTCCAAATTCTTGATGTACACAACCAAACCCTTCTCCTCATGTTTCCTTTGAGCACTTATTTTATCTAGTTTTGTCATTACCATAAATACATTTGGTACAATTAGTGGATTATACTTTAATATGAGTGAGAGAATGTATAATGTATGTGCATGATAATTTATATGAACATAGTTTTTATATACGTTCTGACTAAATTTCTTTTAATTTGTTTGTTTCTTACTGTGGCCTAACGAAGTCCTTTAAAGGTTTTTACGTGTATATAATATTTTATGTGTATGTAAATTTGATGTGTTTTTTTTGTTTTTGTTTCTAATAAAATAGTACCTGATTTTAGTAAAAAGAATCTATAGAATAATTAGCTTTTGTCCATAGGAGCATACTATAAATAATCTTGTATAGTTACTAAGTATGCTTCTGAACTTATTCACTAAATTTCTAAACTTGCTTTTATTGACCAGGTGAGAAATTCGGAGCTGACTGAAGTTTGTAGGACGGAGTTCATGACCCCTTCAGCATTCATCTTCCTTTACGAGAATCATCTCTTTTTAACATTTAGAAAAGGGACTGTTGCTGTTTGGAATTTTCGTGGAGAACTTGTCACCTCCTTTGAAGATCACTTGCTCTGGCATCCAGATTGTAATACCAACAATATTTACATCACAAGCGATCAGGATCTAATAATCTCATACTGTAAAGCTGAAGAAGGATATGAAGCTGAGGGAGAAGGTAACTTTTGAAGTTCTTGTTCTGCATTATGTGGTAGTGGTTTAAATTAGTGGATTTGAGCCATCAAATTTTCAAAATTAACTTTACATTGTTGTCATCATCAGTACTCCCATTGAGATAATTCTAAATGAGGGCAGACTGAATGATTGGACAATCAAAATAGGTCAGAAATAAGGGAAGATTGAATGATTAGACAATTGCATAGACAATTGCATTCTGACGGGGGCATCAAATGAAGCCAACAACCAAAGTGAATACCTCCCTGCATTCTGCTAATATTAATGTACAGTATGAAATATCCATGCTTCACTCATGCCATTCCAATTTCTTACATAGAAATGCTATCCTTCACATATGATTTTCATTTACATATACATTACATGTCCTGCATTTGTATGCATAATCATAATCTTTCTTTATAATTATTATGAGTCAACAAGATTGAGTTCAGATCCCTAGGAATTTGATTTACAAGAGTCTGAGAAGCTCTGTGAATAACTTTACGCCTTAACGTAAATAGCAGGGATTAGAAACAGGGCTTGATCATATACTATTAAACTGTAAATGCATCTTTAGGTTCCCGGTGAAAAGTGTCACCTTTCTATTATTATATTATGGTAGACAAACTGTACTTTGTGACCATTTTCTTTTTGGATTTGGATCCTCGCCACTACCAAAAAAGTAAAAAAGTTATGGAGAGATCATTACTTTAATCACAACTGTTGATTTGTTTAGTGGGTTGTGAGTCATTTTAGATATAGCACTCACCAAAAGGTAGTGGAGAGACCTATTTAAGAAAAAATTGGGGATGGAAACAAACCAAACCATTAACAAATAGTTCGTCAATTGTTACAGTCTGACTACTCAGTTATTATTCAATTCAATAGTTCATTTAGCATTAAACGAATATATTTTACAATTCAATTGATAAACATATAGAATTCAAATAGATATAAATTCGATTCAGTTGATTATTAAATATTTGTTTATATTTTACGTTTAGTAACATCAAGTTAATATACTACAAATTCTGTTATTTATTGGTTAAGGGGTAAAATTGAATGAAGGAAATAAGTTGGAGGGAAAATCGGCGATTGTAGTTATTTGGAGAATATATACTACATAATACATACTATGTGGAGGTTATATTTGGAAAAACACAATAGAGTGTATGAACCGATGACTTTACTGTAGTTAAACACATATGTTAATTAAATGTAAAACGAAACCATGATCCTAAAACGAGCTCTGTGAAAAAAAAGAACAAAGAAACAAATTCCATCAAAAAGAAGTATTTAAATATTTTGCTTGAAAAAATATTAAAATTCATAATTAGCTTTCTAGTTTTCTACTATATACTTTGGAAAACTTTAAGCGCACCCTAAAAAAATTTAAAACGTACTACTAACCAAACTTGCATACCGAAACAAGCTACCCCCTAACAAATTCAAATTATTTAATTCAAATTATTTAAGTGGCGAATTGCGTACCCGAATTCGTAGTGTGACTTGCTACGTCCCTCATATTGTGTAACTTTGCCACTTGGTACGGAGTTCACATTTGAATTTGAACGCAGTAAAACCAGTGGAATTCGAATTTCGTTTCCATCCCCTGGAGAACACTACCTTTATTTTAGTTGTCGATTTGTTTAGTGGATCTTTTTTTTAATGGGGGTTTTGGAGGGCGGAGGGGGTTGTGGGATACGAATCCTTCAGTTTTTGGGGTTTGCCGTTCTATTTGTGCATACCATAATAATAGAGGAGTGAATTAAATTTAGAAACTGTCTTACTGTTTCAGCTGTGGGATCAATCAATATGAGCAACATATTGACGGGGAAATGCATTTCCAAGATATGCTCGAGCGATCCTACACTCCAGATCAATCCTCGACAGAGAGGCAACACTGGGAGGTCTTCTATCCGAAGCAGTGTAAAAGAAGCTCTTGAGGATGTGACGGCGCTCTTCTATGATGAAGATAGGAACGAAATCTACACTGGAAACAAGCAAGGCCTGATCCATGTGTGGTCTAACTAAGTCTACCTTCATGAAACATCTCTCTGGAGTTTTAAGTTATATATTGTAGCATAGATGGCAGCTCAACACCAAAGAAGGTTGTGTACGAGTCTTTTGCCGCGCAATGTCATGTAATCTTGTGCTTCGCGTAGTTTATGTAATGTAATGTAATGTGTGCCGTGCAATGTTAAGTGTCTACTTTTTGTTGCTTTCGTGGAACGTTATTATGTATTTTGTCCAATAATTAAAGCGCTTTTCCCGCAATCAGTATCAAATCCAGTTGCATTGCTGTATGAAATTACCTACACTTTATAGAACTATCTCGTAGAAACATCGTGTAATATTCCCTTGGTGTGCTTCTTCAATGTTATTCGATCGTGAGTACTCTGTGTGCTTCTTCAACGTTATTCGATCATGATGGGCTAAGTATTTTACTTCTTATATTGCTTTTGCTAATTTGGGTCTGATGTATCCATCGAGAATGATTGAGGATTGATAATGTCTACCAGTTTAATAAAAGAATTTGTATAAACTCAACATCTGATCACAAAGATCTAGCCCTAACAGTTTACTTCTCCTCTTTTCTGTTTTTCCTTTTTTTTCTCTGTTCTCATATTTTTGCTAGTGCTTGTTCCCGTTCCATAGTTTAACCTATTATTAAGAAATATAGAAAAGGGTTAATCGCAAACAGACGAGAGACCCTTGTAATTCTACCCGTTGCTTCATGATATTACACATGCACCTCATGGTATTACACATGCACCAGAGAGTTCTACCTGTTGCTTCATGACATTAAACGTGCACCAAAGATGACCAACTGAATCTTGCACGAAGCCCAACACAAAACCCAGAGTCAAATAATCCAAGAGTTAAAAACATTCTTTTGGTGCACAGATGACCATTTGATACTTTCTCATAACTCAGATGACCGATTGCATCAAACCTGGAGACGCCACCATTAAACGATAACTGCAAACTAAAGCTTCATACATGAAATTTTAAAGCAACAAAGGGCAACCACTGAAACTAACCAGCCAAAGTAAAACCACAGTGCCAAGTCTACTAAAATGGCGGAGTGAGCAACCACCCATCAAAACAACAAGTCAACTACCCAAAATCTTTAAACATCCAATTAACTAAGACGAAAGAACAGCAATGACATCTGAGGCTCTCAAAGCAATGTACTCAGAACCATCTCCACTCTTGAATTCACTTCCAGCATACTTGGAATACAGCACTGTGCTTCCTGGGGTCAGACTCAACGGTTTCCTGTTGCCCTCCTCATCCAATGGGCCAGGCCCAACTGCGACTACCTGTTTTCATGAATTACGACGCCTCAAGACTAATTTCATAATATCATTGCTTTGCGCAGGAAGTTATATTACATAGAAAAACTATAATTTTACCGTTCCGATAGAAGGCTTTTCTTTGGCCGCATCAGTAAGTAGCAAGCCCCCTGCAGTTTTCTCCTCAGCTTGTGCAACCTGATGTTGGGAGACAAACTTAAAGTCTCTTGATCGCAAATTCATAAAGAAGCCGGATTGTTTCATAAGGATTAAATAGGAGGGCGAATTGTATCTATTGTCGAATTGAGCAAGTAAACCTTTGGTTTGGATCTAAATAACCAGAGCACTTATTGACAATCAAAATTGAATGCAGTGCTATTCATGGACTGTCCAGAACAGCAATGCATTGTAAGAGGGGCATGTGACATACACAGCATAAATACTTCTGAGATGCAGAGCTTGTTATAATTTACAGTCCACAGAAACTTATCTTTTCCTTTATCTTAGTTATATATAACTTTTCATCTGTGTGTTGCTGGTTATCATCAAAGTGGACATGCGCTGCAACCGGACACTGCCTATGCCAGATAATCAAATGTTGAGTAACACTCCTGGCAGAAAGCAAACATTTTTAGGCTTCCTCCATTCTACATCCTCCATTCGGTGAGAAATACTAAAACTTGAAGACCATGCATACCGCTGCATCTTAAATCCTAAAGAATAATGATAACTACAGTTACTACACTACTCTTTCCTACTCTACTTCTACGCCACGAGAGAGAGAGAGATAAATGATGAATAGTTGTCTTCTTCTTTTGTTTATTATTATTATTATTATCATTTTTTTTTGGGTGGGGTGGGGGGGGGGGGCTTCAAAATAGGAAATGAAATTATAACGAAAATCTTCTTTTTAATATCTTTATTCATTCCTCTACTACGATTATAGTTGAGACCTACAAATATTAGTGTTTCAGTGCTGGCAAGATTAGGTTATGTAGTATTAGTTCAGAGCACCTACTCAGTTTATGACATCGGTTAAAATATTCCTAAAGTGAGCAAGCATTCTATACTATAAACATAAAGAGTAATATTAAAAGATGGTTTCTTTTCGTTGCGGCGGGGGGGGTGAGGGGTGGTTGTGTGGGTGTGTAGTGGTGGTTCTTTTATGTGCAAACAATCCTTGTTTCATGTGCAAACAATCCTTGTTTCAGCAACTTAGCAAAGAACATCAACATGAGAAAATATATAGAATAAAATGTAAAACATGCTGAAAAGGCCAGAGGTGAACCTTGATTAGAACTCGATCATTAAGAGGCTTGAGGTCCTTGAAATCATCAGTATCAAGAATACCCACAATGTCATCCTCCTTCAACAAGAGATGGTTTGTACCATTGAATTCCAACTCTGTTCCTGCATACTTGGAGTATACAATCTGCGCACCAGCCTACATTCATAAAGTTAAGGAGGATGAGTTAAATAAAGGACAGTCTGGTATAAAGAACTTACAAAGTTGATACTATTGAAATAACAATTAAAATGAAAAGAGAGAGAATTTTAGGTATATGAAGAAAGTTTCCATTTCAAAAGGAAACCTAAAAATTTGATATTATAAGGGATTTCAATATCAATAGGGGTGAATACCCTAATATTTTTTTTAAAGATAAATACATCACAGTTTGAAGTGAAATTTTGGAGTATTTAAATGTGATGCAGAGGTATTTAAAAGGGATGAAAAATTGGGGTACTCATAAAGAGATGCAAAGAAAATACATGCTAGAAATGACAACATTTAGGTATAAGATATGATAAATATAGTTACACTTACACGAAGCCAAACCAGTTGACTTAATACCTGAATACTGATATCTACTTTGTTCTTGCCGACAGTTCTACCATCACCAATTTCAACAACTTCACCACTCTGTGGCTTTGTCTGAGCAGTTGTTGGCAGCAATATGCCTCCAGTTGTTTTCTCCTCAGAAGACTTGATCTTTACCAGCACCCTATCACCCAAGGGCTTAACAGAAGTATACTGAGACGATGGCCAGATTTAAAGGGTTAGCATATAAGTTCAGTGCAAAGCACATAGGCACACTCAAGGCAGTAAATTCAAAATGCATGTAACTTGAAATAGCCACAAGATAGTGAAGTAGAGGTATCATCCAATCATTTGTCAGTTACATAGAGTTTTTTTTTTTAAGTTCAGACGAGCCTGATGCCAAGCATGCATTGCCACACTTACAGACTATATAACAAAATGCTTGCAATGAGAAAAAGAAAAAAAGGATACAAAATTTGATAGCATATTCAGAAGGTTGAGTACTAGTGTCCCAACCGCTCAGAAGCCAAAGTAAAACCAAGTGTCAGATGAAGAAAAACAGAGGAAAGAATGAAGTTTGATTAAAATAATTGAGATAAATTATTTTTCCAGATTATCACTGCATTTCAAAACTCTGTTACAACCACAAGCTTGATATGCATTACAGAAAGTAGCAAGGTGCACACAACTCAACCTGGAAGAAAAATTTCTACCATTTTTCTGTTACAAATGTTTTTAATTAGGCTTTGGTAATAAAACTTAAGAGTAGCTACAGGAAAAAAAAAAAAAAAAAAAAAAGAAAAAAAAAAAAAAGAATGTATAATATGATCTTAAATAGAACATACCGTATTAGAAAATGGTACAATGTAGCCATTAAAGTGGAGATTTTTGACATCAATTACAGTAAACCCAAATAATGAGGAAAAGATAAAAAATAAACTTCAGTTTTATCAAATCTTTCGGTTGAATTATTTGGGTTCTAGAAGATTATTATAACTACGTTAGCGTGGTGTATTACAGAAGAA